TAACGAATCTGCATGAACAGAAACTTTCGACGCACCTCAGAGTTGTTATGTTCATGTCAGGGTTTGTTCCCCTAGCCATCGGGATCGGAGAACGCTTCTAGTCTCTTCACGTGACGCCCAGGAGGCTCGACTGCTGACCTGATTCATTGGCGCCCTCAGGCGGCAGTTCCGCGGCCGATTGGTCAGGTCTATGCTCGAGCCCCTCCAGTGGCCCTTCTAAAAAATCCGTCGGAACCCAGCGCTGACCTGACTGCTTTTCTGTTCCCTACGTCACCAGTGCAATAACGATGCCTGGAGCGTTTTTTTGTAGAGCGGTTGACGAACAACCGAATTCGCGTGCGTTCCCGCTCGAAGATGGTGCGTCCTCCAGAGGCGTGGAATTCCTCGAGTTGAGGCCTTCTCGCGCAGATCCCCAGGAGGTCCCAGGAGGCCCCAGGAAACGCCAGGTGTCTCGGAAGGCCACAGGAGGCCCTAGATTGCCCCAGGAGGTCCCTTGATGCGCCAGGGAACTCTTGGAGTCAACCCCGCATAGGCCCCTTGGCACGTCCCCTGGCACGTCCCCTGGCATCCCCTCCCCAACTCTTGGCATCCCAGCCCGGTCAGAACTCCCTCACCCTTTCCCTCCTCCACCTCAACGGCTGTGAGGCGAAGCGCGGCGGTGAACTTGCCGGCTCGCTCCTATCATGGGCAGCGCTGCTCGCAGAAACTCGGAGGCCTCATCCTGTTGCTGCTCCTTCTCGGCCTCCTCCTTCTCCTCCTGCTCCTCGCCCCTCTCCTTCCTCACAACTTCGGGGATGAAGGAGGACGGGGGGGGCGGGCTGGAGGGAGGAGTATCTGGCAGCGACTTCCGCAGTGGAGGAGAGTGGTTAAGAGATGCAGCGCGGATAGGGGGGCGGATGACGAGTGGTTTTTTTCTGGGAGGCGATCGTTCTGGCGCAGGCTTGTGCGCCGTCTATTCGTTCTACCTGGGGTTGGGCTCGGGGCAGGGGAAGGATGCCGATAATGGTGATGATGACGATGGTGATGTGAATACCTATGCTCATGATGCTGCTGCTGCAGCTGCTTCAGCAGCTGCTACTGCTGATGTTGTTGTTGATGCTGATGACTATGATGACGATGGTGTGGTGGTGGTGGTGATGATGATGATGACGGTGATGGTGCTTATGCTGATGATGCCGATCCTGATGATGATGCTGCGGACGAGGAGACTGATGACGATGACGATGATAAGATGAAGCTGATGATCATGGTGCTGCTGCTGACGATGATGATGATCATGCTGCTGATGATGATGCTGATGGTAATGATGATGACGATCCTGATTATGATGATGCTGATGATGATGATGATGATGATGCTGATGCTGATGCTGATGCTGATGCTGATGCTGATGCTGATGCTGCTACTGCTGATGATGATGCTGATAATGGTGATGCTGATGCTGCTGCTGATGACGATGATGGTGATAGTGATGCTGATGATGCTGATGATGATATTGATGATGCTGATGCTGCTGCTGATGATGATGCTGCATATGCTGACGCTCATGGTGATGATGCTGATGCGGATGATTATGATGATGATGATGATGATGATGATGATGATGATGATGATGATGATGATGCTGCTGATGATGATGATGATGATGAAGATGCTGCTGCTGCTGCTTCTTCTGCTGTTGTTGCTGACGATGACGATGATGCTGATGATGATGCTGCTGCTGATGATGCTGCTGCTGATGGTGATGATGATGCGGATGATGTTCATGATGCTGATGATGCTGATGACGATGATGATGACGATGCTGATGATTATGATGATGCTAATTTGAGGATGCCGAATAAGATGATGATGTTGATTATGATTATGATGATGATGCTTATGCTGCTGATGATGCTGATGATGCTGCTGATGATGATGGTGGTGATGATAATGATGTTGATGATGATGATGGTGGCGATGATGAACATGATGATGATGATGATGATGATGATGATGATGATGATGCTGTTGATTATGCAGAGGATGATGATGCCTTTGATGATGATGCTGCTGATGATGATGGTGGTGGTGGTGATGATCTTGATGCTGCTGCTGCTGCTGCTGATGATGATGATGATGATACTGATGATGCTGATGATGATGATGATGATGATGATGATGATGATGATGATGATGATGATGATGATGATGATGATGATGATGATGATGATGGTGCTGTGAGCTCAGCGGGTATGATACTAGAAGGAAGTGAACTGCAGCTTTCTCGGACCTAGCCCTCCCCACGCTGCGCGCCGGGCGTGCCCGCGGTTGATGCGTGGATAGCCCGCGGCCAGAACGCGGGCGGTCCACAAGCCTGCCCGTGGATCCGAGGCCCCCTCAGTGGCCACTCCCAGCGGCGAGGAGGCTGTACCAGAGGGTCGTCACCCCAGACAGCACCCATCGCGGGACGCCCAGAGAGCTGGCAGGTGCCGAACCTGTGGTTCGGGCCGCCCCTGCCGCTGGCAGCCACTGCTACGCGACCTGGACCGCCCCGGTTTCGAGCGAGGACCTCGTCGGGGTGCACAGAGGAGGCGCGATCGCGCGGCTGGCGATTGTCTCCGGACTCGG